AGGGCGGGGTTTTTGAGAAAGACCGTTGGAGTGTGAACGTATCATGTCGCACACCACACTATCTAAATAAACGCGGTAAAAATTGTAATAGTGAACGAATGGTAGGATGCTACTGGAAACGCGAATAACCCTGGGCAGAAGGGAAGATACCACAATTGTTTAGAACAAGTTTGGTCAAAGGATCGGCTTTACTTGTCTCTTTGACAATTTGTTGTGTGATTCTAAGAATGGCGATACTCGCTGACGATGTCTGCGAAATGTTTGGAAATGTACCACGTCCACGGTTCAACTTTGGAAATGATCATGCAGGCAATGGACTCCGGACTAGGTGCGTTCCTCTAAGTCTTCCTACCAATATGACCATGTTGCAAAAACAAGGTCAGACAACCTCTAAATTCTTTATCGTTTACAACCAGTTTGGTGTGAGTCTGTTCTAGCCTTTTTGGAGACAAGGCTAAGTACAATTCTGTGGCAACTTAAGGTCTTTTCATATTATTGCGCAAAAATTCTATCATCAATTTTCCTTCATACTTTATTAATTAATGGTGATTTAGAAATTTTACTACCAAGGTAAGGGTCAATCAAGTATATGTTGCTTCTTTACAAAGCAAGAACGTCTTCAGATTAATCACAATTGGCTCCAACAGCTAAAGGAATGCTGTATATATTGGTTTTAAAATATTCCTAACACCTTTGTTCTTGCCTGCTATTAGGACTTTAATCAATATTTCCTAATTTAGCTCTTGACACATCTACTCTTTCAAGTTTACAGTCATCTTAGCAAATGTTCAACAACTTTGTAGCAAGTCTAATATAACTGCGTCAAAAGGTTTGTGAATAGCTACCGCGATACTGCTTGCTTTTTATAATTAAAAGAAAAAGATGTTTGTCTAGCTATCTATGTCAATAAATGGCCTCAAGTTATTTGCAGAGGTGAACCAGTTTTCCTCTAGGATAAATATTTGAAAATTCTTATATATTAAAGTTATTTGACCTTGTTTTCGCAACTTGGTCATATTGCCAGGAAGACTTAGGGGAACGAACCTAGTCCGGAGTCCATTGTATGCATCACCATTTCCAGAGTAGGACCGTGGACGTGGTACATTCCCAGACGTTTCGCCGGCATCGTCATTGAGTTTAGCCATTAGTAGCACCATATCACAACTCGTCAAAGAGACAAGTGAAGCCCATCCTTTGACCAAACGTGTGCTAAACTGTTGTGGCATCTCCCCTTCTGCCTTGGGCTATTCACATTTTCTATATCCTCCGATCGTGCCTTCACTGCCACAATTTTTTCCGGCCTTATTTTTAATGTAGTGTGGTGTGGTCCTTCGAGCGGAATTCATGAAAACCCTTCACACTCCACGCTGTCGTTATCACCCCATTTACCCTTGTGCTGGGAATATTGACCGGATTCTGTCATATTGTTACGTTTTCCTTCCCTGGGTCCTATCAGAGTCTCTTTCTTGCCCGGTAGAATCCGTCTGCTATCTCCCTGATACATTTATTTCACTCGACCCTTCCCCCCTCCCCATCTGTGTTACTCGAGGCGTAATTCGTCCATCCCCTGCACCTAGGGGATTGATTATAGGCTAAAGCATCAGAGTAAGTCTCATGGTCATGCCTTTGCTACATGAACCACGTCTCTTGTAAAACCTACTGTCTGCTCCAATTGCCGCCTCGTCTATCCTGTCTCTATCCGTTATACCAAGTTTATGACCTGCCATGCCCTAGTCGTTTGTGTGCCAACCCACAAATGTTGTGGTACTGCTGGCTTTGATTAGGTTCAATGTTGAACCACGGAATTGTTGGTGATCTTCGTTGTATAATCCATGTACACAAACATCTCAGGCGAGAAGGCGGTAAGCGCCTTGCTGGAGATATTGGAGCGA